TGGGCGGTTTCACTCTGTTACATAAAGTCAACAAGTCAGAACCAACTAGACGGTAGATTTGGTTTGCATTTAGACCTGTTTTCAAAAAATGAAAATGTTTTTGTTAAATGATATACATATTATGAAAGAAAGATAGAATATGCAAAACTTTAGTAGCGTTTGATTTAGGGTAATGTTTAATAAACTAATAGAGCCCACTTAAGAAAACTTACTTTTAAATACTACTTTTGTATGGTGGATTGTACTATAAAGTGTGTTCCTGCTTGATGTCCTGATTACCTTATAGGATAACTCATATTAAATAACAATGAATGCTTATAATAAGAAAAACATACAACTAAGAATGAAGTAATGTTCTTCCCAATCCCTTCTTTTTTCCTAAGGGATAACCACTGTTCTGATCTTGGTATTTGCTTAGTATATATGCCTTTATTACACAGACAAGCATATCAAAGATCATAAAGATATCACAGGACAGGGCAAGATTTAGATCTGTAGTTAATAGTTGACTTGATGCCACCTAACAATACACATGCACAAGTACCCCTCACATATATGAACACATTGTTGTGCACATTTAAAAACTATATGCTTGTGTATTGTTCTGTAACTGGTTTTTGTTTCAATTGTTTCTGACCTTTCATGTTGTTGTGTATAGTCCTAGTGTGTTTAACTGTTAGGTAGTATATAAAAATTCCCTAGTTTATGCATTCTCTCCCTGATAAGCTTCTGGGTTATTAGGGACAGTTCTTGTAAATATGAGTGTTCCCTTATAAATTTGTGTCAGCGTTTATCTGGAATGTGTACCAAGATGTAGTATTGCTGTATCGTCTACTATTTGTATCTTCAGTATTTCCAGATATTGCAAAATTATTTATACAAAGTGGTTGTTATCAGTTTTTTACTACATCATTGTTGAAGATCAGCACCTGTTTATTCACAACTTTATCCTCTAGACAGTGTCACTTTTTTTTTGTTTGTTTCTTTGACAAGACTAAAATAAGATCTGATTGTGGTCCCTTTTTTCTGAGTGAAAGAGTATTTTTTCATATTTGTTTCTATTCCTTTGTAATTATCTGTTGGTATATTTGTCCACTTACCTGTTGGGCCAATTATCTTATGTTGTGGAATATCTTGAAATAATTTTGACACTACTTTGCTGTAGGTTAAGTTGTATTGATTTTTGGTTCGACAGGAAAGTCCAACCTTCTGAACTTGTGGGAAGTGTATGGACCAAAGAAGATAAAGAAATAAATTCTCCAAATTTATTAAAAATGATACGTCATACCACAAATCTTACTCTGTGGTTTGAAAAGTAAGTTTTTACTCACATGATTCTATTACTTTTAATAATCATAGTATTAAGTCAGATTTAAGCTAAAATTCTGCCTGTAAATGGGTTTCATGGGGGAGTTTTTTAGGGAGGTGAAGAAATTGTTTTGTAAGCCATGATATCTTATTTCTGTGTGTGTATATTAGGTGCATTGTGGAAGCGGAAAATTTTGAAGAACGAGTTGCTGTACTAAGTAGAATCATAGAAATTCTACAAGTTTTTCAAGATTTAAATAATTTCAATGGAGTATTGGAGATAGTCAGTGCTGTAAACTCCGTGTCAGTATACAGACTGGATCATACATTTGAGGTCAGTATTGGACTGTAAATATTCCATTCATATGGAGTTGTTGTTATGTATCATCAAGAGGGAACCACCATAACTGACTGTCCGTGTCACCAAGAAAGAACCAACATACAGCTGACTGTCCTGCAGGTTTTCTGAGGCTGTCAATCACACAGGAGGAGTTTGCCTATCTTTCACTCAGGGAGCAGCCAGTGTATTCGAATTACCTGCATTTCTGTTGGCAGCTCAACTTCTTACCCAGCAAACCACCAGAGATCCCTTCGAAATGGAGAGAGGGAGATAAAATTCCTGTAAAAGAAAATAGGTATTTTTACCAACTACCTTTTTGAAGAAAAAGAAAATTTGTCTTATGATGGCCTAGTGAGTAAAGAGTTGTGCTGCCAACCCAAGGGCAGGCAGTGATGAGCAGTCTCCTCCCATACAATTTATAGCCTCTGAAAATCTACTGGAGGGTCAGCTATGAGCCACTTCCCACTGGATGGCATATAATACTATGTACCTTTAGTCTATGCAATTATCCCTGTTTTAACATCATATGTCTAATAAATTACCATAGTTTTTAAAAATTTTATTAATGTTAATGAACATTTATAGATATTTTGGATTTCCATTCATTGTTGCACTTTTCTTCCTGCCCTCCTCTACCCCCCACCCCAGTTCGCTCCGCTCTTTGAAAAATAAAAGAAAAATTCTTTCATTGCTATACAATCCCCCCTGCAACCCTCGCCACCGCCCCAAGTACACTCCACTATGCAACCTTAATTCTGGACTTTTGTGATAACCATAATACCCTATCATATATCA